ATGGGAATTATTTCTCTCCTCCTACCATGTGGGGCCCAAGGATTGTCTTGTCAGGTTTGGTGGCAGGTGCCTTTCCTCACTGGGCTATCTCACTAGGCCCTTTATTTCTTGAGACATGTTCTCACCTGGATGGCCGAGTAGCATGACTCTCATCTGTAATCCCAGCACTTGGAATGCTGAAACAGGTAAGAGGATCAGGAGATCAAGACTGGCTTCAGTTACATAGCAACTTTGAGATTAGTCTTGGCTACATGAAACCCTGACTCCAAACAAAACCAGACCTTGTTCCAGGCTGGCCCTAAACTCACTCTGTAGTCTAGATAGGCCTTGAATATATGATGCTCCTGCCTCTACCTCCTGAGTAGCTGGGGTTAAAAGCCCATGCCACCAGGCCAAGCTCCTTTTGAGATTCAATCTTCCTGTATACCCAAGACTGGCCTAGAACTCACTATCTAGGTATGGCTGACTTTGAACTTGAGGCGATTCTATGGATTCAGCTTCTTGAGTAGTGGAGTCACACCAAACTCAGCTCTTTGAAGACTCTTTTTTAAAAAGATGTATTTATTTTAAGAAATTTATTATATGTGCCTGTATATCGGCCATGTTTGTGTTGGTACCTGTGAAGGCTAAAAGAGGAACCTGGGTATTCCTAACCACTGTGCCATCTCTCCAATTCCTATCTATGAATGTTCGTAAGTGAATTAAAAAAAAAAAAAGGACAGTAATCGAGGTGTGGTGGCTTATGCCTATAACCCTAGCACTTGAGTCAGAAGGACCTTAAGTTTGAGAGTAGTTCTGAACACACAGATAGACCCGGTCCCAAACCAAGCTGGATGTGGTAGCACATACTTGTAATCTCAGCACATGGGAGATGGAGACAGGTGGATCAGAAGTTCTGGTTCTCACCTACATAATGAGTTTGAGGCCAGCCTGGGCTACATGAGGTGGCTCAGCTGGTAAAACACTGCACAGACATGAGGATCTAAGTGTGGGTTCTCATCACCCACATCAAAAAGCCTAGTGTGGCCGGGCGGTGGTGGCACACGCCTTTGATCCCAGCACTTGGGAGGCAGAGGCAGATGGATCTCTGTGAGTTTGAGGCCAGCCAGGTTTACAAAGCTAAAACAGCCAAGGCTACACACAAGGAAAGAAATCTTGTCTCAAAAACAAAAAAAAAAAAAGGAGAGAAAGAAAGAAACAAACAAAAGAAGGGAGGAAGGAGGGAAGGGAAGAAGGAAGGAAGGGAGTTAAAAAAGGAAAGAAAAAGAAAAGGAATTGAAACACAGAGATAGCCACACCATGTGGTGAAATCCTGT